TCTATGCTAGATATAAGTAGGAAGTTAATCACACTTCTCCAGCATAAGGCGTTATATGCTATAATAATTAGTATATAACGCATTGTGCTGGAGAAGTGCTTTGCTTTTTTTCTACTGGAAACCCACAAAGGGTCAGAAAGAAAGATGTTAATCATATCAGACTTATTGTGATATAATGTTCCATAAACCAATTAAAAATAATAAATACTGTTTCGACCGAGGCTTTGTGTATTGTATATACCCAGTCGACCAGACAGGCTCTGGTATTGAGCGAAAGGCTTCTTCGACATCTAGCACATAAAGTATACGGTCGAGATGCTGTTATGCTATTCTTTCTTGAAACCCTTAAAGGGCCAATAGATAGATTGTTGAAAATTATTATGAGATTTACTGTGGTGTAACGACACGCCAGCCACTAATGTAACAGTGTAGCAGCTTGACTATCGAAGTCGTCTAATAGTGTACCAACTTAACTATCTAAATCGAATGCAAGTTTTATCGAAGCTGGTGGATGCTGACGACAGCTTCTTGATGACGTCACAGGAAAAATTAACATCGTTGAATGATATGACTTTCATTGAAAACACGTTTGTCTTTCCCGAAAATAACTAGTTTGGAATGTTCGTGTAATTTTATATAATATGAACCTGACTTTTTAAGTACTCAATTCGAAGTACTTTTTTTTCTTGCGTAATATTAGTATAACAATTGATCGTTTTCCCATATATTGACTGATTAAGTTTTAAGGTGAAATATGTGATATCTATTTTTCTTCAGTAAATGTAAAATTCAGTAGTTGATTTTTCATAATAGATCAAGAACATTTCATGTGGTATGTAGTAATGAAAAGTTACGTTCATATTTTACGGTTTCACTTTTCATATGTTCAGTTGTCAGTTTTATTAACTACATACATATCGAACCTCTAACATCGTGTTTTCTATAAATACATTCTCACCTCTAGATATATTGTGGCAAGGAGCATGAGAGAATAAAATTATAGGTTAAGGATCCAAGAACCAACCAACTTGCAAGGAAGTATAAAATATTCTGGGAACTAATGTTTACTACAAAGTGTGTAAGATGAACTTGAATACAGAATGAAAACACATCATAGTTGGTAGACGTTAGCCATATTATTAAACCTCATTGTTGAAAAACGTCTGATTGCTGTATTGTTAAACACATGATAGTTAAAGACGGTAGAACCAACCAACTTGCAAGGAAGTATAAAATATTCTGGGAACTAATGTTTACTACAAAGTGTGTAAAATGAACTTGAATACAGAATGAAAACACATCATAGTTGGTAGACGTTAGCCATATTATTAAACCTCATTGTTGAAAAACGTCAGACTGCTGTATTGTTAAACATATGATAGTTAAAGATGGT